AAATGTTAACATATAAAAATTTACGCGTGTTAAAATAAAAATTTCAAATTTTCTGCTAATGGAACGCAACAAAAATTCAATCCGAAATTATACCAACTTCCGCTTCAGTATCCGCACCACTCGCTCTTTGAAAAATGGTTGCTCAGAGCACACTATTCTTTCTTTATCGATTCAGTCAAACCCATATTGGAATTTGAAAACTTCACTGTGAAAAGGTAACATAAAATAATTTGAACTCAACGAATCGCAAAAGAAAGCGGAACAATGCCTAATCTCATTATTAGATGACCATAAACACTGGTAAGCATTTCACGTCCATTTTGGATTCGTTTTTGAAATAAATGTTAAATTTACAGCAAAAAACTAAAGAAATAACATACGACAGCAAGACGTGAATCATACGGTTGCTAGATGAAAGAATTCGATAGAAATGCATCGAGTCAATTCAATGATCTGAACATAATTATCACATCGAAATCTCAGCGGAAGTGTACACATATTTTTAATATACGATATGCTGGGCTATAAAATTACCCAATGTTGAATGTGATGTTGAATGCAAAAAAACTGAGAAAATAATTTACTGACATACTCAACAAAATAACGATTAACAAAGCAATAAAGACAACTTTTGTTCGGCTTTTGCTATAAATCAATAAAGCAGTCCTTAATCGCATTCTAATACACCACCCGAGAAAAAAGTCAATCGCTTTTCAGATGCAAAATGAGATTAAACACAAATTTTAATCTCTTATATTTGACACGAACAATAACAACTTTCAACATTCCCATAAACCAAAACTCAACAATATTGTACAATCGACATAGATATTCGATAAATTTTCACTTCTCATGAATAACAACGAACAAATAACGAGATGAAAATGCGGTTGGCCACTATGATAAAAACAGATTATAGATACTTTAGTCAATGTCAGATTTAATTCAAATTAACTTCGACGACATTATCAAATCGATTTGATATTACGCGAATATCTCATAGAAACTTTGGTTGATATATCAGCTATTTGATTAATGAGTTCATTTCCCTTACGACACTAAATATCCACAAAACACAAACACAGATTTAATCACTCGGATTAATGACTTTAAAAAAGAACTTTCCATCATTTCAATTAAACGCAACACTTCGAAGCGTTCATATCTCAAATGTGATCGGATTTATTCACTATTTAAATGAACGAATTACACTTTGTCGAGTCGACATATTGAATTTTCATAAATCATTTTGAGGTCAACTTTTGGTCCGAATAAATCGCGGATATTGTCGATACCATAACGAATCATCGTTGGTCTGAAGCAATAAAAATTTATGATCGCCTTGATGATTCGTATACGTCTTTAAGCATAATTCAGTCAATCATCAAATGTCACTTCTAATCTCATAAGCTTACGTACTCTTCAACTGTAGAAAACGCGTTCGAAAATCACTACATATACTTTCAGTACAACGAAAACTGACGGCAATGAAAAAGTGAGATGACACATGAACGAGGAATATGAAATAACCTTTCAAGAGAAAGACCATAACCAGCAACGTTAACATCAGCCGGAAGTCCCATTGGTAACAGCATTTCAGGTCTGAACATTCCCGAATTCCCAATCTCTACCCATTTCTTCAATCCCTCATGATAGGCAAATATCTCCATTGATGGTTCTGTGTACGGATTATAAGTTGGTTTGAAACGAAGATTCGTTATTCCTTAAAGAAACCATTAAAAAGCGTTGGTGTGTCTCGTGATGCAATAAAACGGAGTAATAACATATGCAATAACAACATCTTGGCGAGATGATCGTTATTTACATCGTATTCGGTGAGTACATTAAAGTAACAAAATGGAACTCGTCAAGACGACTACAATGCAAGAATGAAACGAACCACATTTGCGAAAGAACTCAGTGAACAGACCCATGACATGCGCCAATGACAGATCTCGTTCTGCTATAACACCTTCAACCTGAAACACACCTTATATTCTCATTTTTAGACGCAGAGAGCATTTTCATTTGGAATAACAACTCAAATATTCGGGAGATCCCAAAAATAGTGAAGTGGAATCAATGCAAATGAAAACAACTAAAGACCTGATGAAATTCGGCCAAGTGTGTTGCATCGAGTGTTTCGTTACGAAAAACACGATCGATACTGAACATTTTGCTCGGTTTAAATCCCTAAAATAAGAACATTTCTTTCATTGATCGCATGAAGCAAAAATTCAATGGGTTATTAAAACAAAAAAGTAGTCAGCAGAACCATTCAGAAAATACAATCGTACTCAATACCACAAATGATTCAACGGTTCAAATCAATAAAACATAATGCTCTAAAAACATTTCAAACAATGCGATTGCTCTCAATTCATTCACTCTAATAAGCCATTTTCTAGCATCCATCTCTATTTCAACTTGCAACGTTTCTCTTCTCCACACATTTTCTTTCTTTTTCGGTTAAACATCTGATTATATCTTGATAAATATGACGTCCGGATAATCGACACATCGAAATGGTCACTTGCAGAATCAACGAACACACCTCTTGAGCAAGTTTATAGAGTTGTCTCGCGCTTACAGCAGTTGTATGTGTTCGTAATACATTCTTCTGCGCTTCTTCTATTTTCCAATCATAATTATATCTTCAAAAAACAAGTAACAAATACTAACTGGACGCATACAACTCTTGTTGAATATCATTCGTTCATTTAAACATCATTCATCCATTCTATACAACTAATTATTGAGGGATCTGAAGAAGAGCTTTCTTTCCGTAAAGCTCTTTACGCTTATACCAACCTCGTTACTGATATATAAAATATTCAGATTTTGCATCTATCAGTTGACTTAAAAGCTATCGAATGAATCAGCTCTAATTCTGAATATTTTGCCTTAAGATATGCTTATGAGAAATAAATGTACACTGATCAAAGATCCACATTACGAAATATGCATTCTTTAGCAATTACCATGAGCGAGTTAAATATCAACTAAAAAAATAACCGAACAGAAGAAATAGTGATAAAACGAACCCCTTCGAGCCATAACCTCCTTTTGAATGAACCGTCTTCACCCTCTCTAAATAATCTTCAGGGAATTCATAACTCAATGCTGGATCACTAACAAAGAACGTATCATGTGCGTCGCGAGCTGGATGTTGTTGAGGTTGGAAAAGAGCGTCAAAATTCCAGAATGAACTCTCGACGTAACTGAAAATGCTCGTTCAATACAAATAAACTACTGAAATTGATATGAATGAAATGGATGATACGAAAAGAAATTGAAACAGTGATACATTGCACGAAAACATGAAAGTTGTTAGAATGACAAGCGCAGTTACTTTAACAACTAAATAAAGAACGAAGTGACAATTTCTTTTGGTATTTGCTTCGCTTTGAAACATATTCCCATTTTGTAAAAAAAAAACAACAAGAGACCTAACCGATTCGTAGGCATTTCCGTGAAGCCCATTTGGAAGAAGATTTGTCTGAATTCAGATCGAACTATCATAAGTGGATGAAGATGACCACCGGTTGGCATTACTCCCATCGCGTTGAAGTTATATTTCTTGAATTCCTTCGACCTCCATGAACCACTTAAAGTATTACTTAAGCTAATTCTTTATAAATGATGCGCAGAGATCATATTCTAGTAATTGCACTTAACCAATTCATTACTTAGCAAATTAATTCACTGAAAATCAAATCGATTTCATGAGTTACTGTGATCACAAGGAAGCAAATTACAGAAGCCTTTCGGAACAACATTGTGGCGTGTATGAAATGCAGGAATATTGTTTAGGTGATACAACGAATGACTGACTGGTCCCACCTACACTATCAAGAACAATTAGAATTTCGAATCTGAGTTTAGTAACTGAATACTATTCGATTCACTCAGGACAGTGAGAGCGAATAAAGATGATTTACCTTGCTATCATTTCGGGAGTAAGATCCAACTCTGTTTTACTAATAACTGTTGTGAATGACGATCCTTTTTTGACGAGATAACTTTTGATAGTCCTTGAATAGAGTAACACAATATAAAAAGGAATAATGAAAGAGCCAGCAACCGGACGATTTCAATGAAACCATAAAAATTGCTGATTCAAGTTGAGCTTTCTTGAAAAAATGAAATTTTCAAAACAATAAGCAAAATACGTGCGCATAATTTATCTTCTTCTCATTAAGAAATAGTCAATATGTCACGAAAATGAAAGCATACACTTCAGCGATGAGTTTGCGTTTCTTGAGTTCTTGAAGTGCTTTTGGATGTAATTCCGAATATTCGCCATCAGCAATATAACTCAGTTGTTTCTGTACAACATCACTGATCGATTCCACTTTACGAATCAGTCTCACCGAACCACCACTCTTATCGACTTGTATCCAACCAGCTGCTAACGCTTTACTCACGCCAACCTTACCGTAAGGTTGCTTCTTAAAATATTTTACATTAAAAGCTGTGACCAGTACATAAAGCTGCGCATAAAGAATGAAATAAGTTGAGTTTTAATAAAGACAACGCTCGATGCATATCAATCGAATTCAGTTAACTATGAACGAACAGGAACATTGTTCGAGTGGAAGTAACTTGATGAAGTTTGAAAGGTTATCTCTGAGTGAATCAGTTGACAACAAACCATCACTTGTGATTGTTCCATACCATTTTCACCAATTAAGTTGAAAACCTTCGCTTCATGGGAACCATTTTTTTCCATTTCTTTTCCTTCCTCCGTTAACTCTATTCGTTTCATTGAACGATTTTCGGTTGAAATCAACTGAATTCATTAAATTCAATAGAAACCACCTAAAGGATAGCTTTAGATGTTTATTCGAAAAGAACATTTTCAGATAAATAAATGATCAAAATAAACCCAGAACTAACCACTTCTAACTATTCGTAATAAAAAAAACATTCTTAAAACATATCTTCAGTAATTGGTGTAATTATGAAATAAATAACCATGTGTTGCTTTCAAAGGGACAAATGCACTGCGAATTAGCTCATTTTTTGAACAATAAAAGTACCACATTCTTGGCATTTCAAATAAACACCGTTTAATTCCACAACGGGAAACACATGATCTGCCTAAAGTGATGGAGAGAGATCCTTCCCCCTCACTTTCTTCAGCTTTCCATAAGACAATACCTTTGATGATAATCGGATATAGATATAAATTCCTTCAGTCCGAAAAAGAACAATTTCGAAAAGCGTCAACTTGATTAGTCGCTATGATTCTTTAAAAATAAATTTTCCTATCGAAAAGAAAACAAGATGGTTGGTAAAACATTTACTCCTTCATTGTTGAGAAGACTTTTAACAGCACCAATAATTTTTTGATGATCAATACCCATTGCTGAAGATATTTCGAGTGTATCGAATGGTTCATTACTTCGATCAAGTCGTTTCAGTAATACTTGTGGCAAATCAAAATCGCCACTTGCATCACACATACTTGACCCAGTCATTTCTTTGTTTCTCACACAACAGTTCGATTGGATTTTTACTGGTTCTTTCGCATCCAACAAACTGGAAAATATCACTGCTATGTGCTGATGACAACCAGAATAGAATCAAAATTGTTAGGAAGAAAAGTGAAAAAAAAGAGTGATATGCAAACAAAATGTTTGCAGATATCTAATGCTGAGGTTGTGGTTTTGTCAAGGATTAGAAAATGAAAGAATAACAAGAAAACGGAGTGAAGATTGTTCAGTATCCTGTGGATGGAAATAATGCTGAATCGATCAAAATAAACGATACCGATTTCTTTCGGCAATCGTAAAAGACGAAATGTGATTGAACCAACGCTTCAAATGAACGTAACGATTCAACTCTGAACGACGATCACTCACTTTGTTATGGATATCGAAATCAAGTGACGATATTACGTAACTGAAAGTGGTCACAGTGAAGAAGTTCGAGCAGCATCACACAACCACAGTATCGTCTTTTTAAGTGGTACGCGAATACTTCAATGAGATCTCAACCTATCACTACAAATTTGTCAAACGCATCTTAATCAACCATCAGAACTTACCCTAGAATATAACTAAAGGCAGAGAAGTGTTTGTCTAGCTGTAACAGCTCACAGTCATCCATCCAATGACCACTTTTCACCCGAGTACCGAACGGCAACCAGCCACTGAAAGAAATTCGCATTATAAATCGACGTTAAATCTTGGGAACATGAGTATTGTATAAAATATCGATTGCAATGTTGCCAACAGTTTTGTTCGTATGACCTCTAAAAACAAAATATGAGACCGCCTGGTCATGAAACAATCAAAAGCAGTTCATGATATCTTGAAGACTCGATGCAAAATTACACAGGAATACTTGTTTCCAGAAGAAAACAAGTGGCAAAATATGTTCTAGCTGATAGTTTCATAACGAAGGCTATGTTGACGGACACACGGTGCTATAAAGTAATGCAACCCATTCTAGACCTGGAATTCAAGCCTGATTCAGGTTAACACAGCCCCAAACCGCAGTTCCGACAGTTTTTTTGGTAAATTAAAAACCACGTTTTGAAACACGTTGTCTTAGTTGGGGTAAGAGAGGTTGGGGTAGAAGAAGCCAAAGTGCACTTTCATACGCGCGCGCGTCCGAATGTTGAAAGGCGAGAGAATTAGAGGAAAACGCTTCGTAAAAGCGCACAAAACGAACAGAATGAACGTAGCTGTGAAAGTTAACAACGAGAAATCGTCGTAGCGCAACCTTCGCGTTTGATTCCAAATTCAATTCTCTACAAGACAGAAGGTCTCAGCAGAATTCATAATCTAGTTTTCGAGATTGTAACTTCAAATGAATCTTCATAACGAAAAATAATGCCTTTGCAAGCGATTGAGATGGAAAAAGTACCGGAACAGAAATTTCATCGGTCAATGCCAAGTAGCCCATTTAAAAGAGAATATGATGCTGATCTAATATGACGCTGATCCCTCTTTACCTATCAAAATCGCAAAAAAATCGCTCACTTCGCTCTTTTTTATCACGGTCAAAATCACCAATAAGTTTTGATCATCACCATGATCATTAGTTTCTATGCATTGATAAATTACTCTTCAATAGATCATCACATTCAGCTGGTGGGAATTTTGAAATATTTCGTTTGGCGCAACCGAATTTAAATATTCCCGAAGCGGGAATACGCCCAAAGCGAAATGTATAAAAGGGTTCTTTTTCATAGCATAACTTAATTCCAGTTCGATGAAATCGGTGAGTATTGCTGCTCCTTCAATACGGTTAATATGGTTGATAATAAAGTGGTTAATATGGTTAATAATATATCATTATGGTTAATGGTTCATAATATATCAAATTATGGTGGTTATTACATGATTATCTGGATATATGGCTCTATAGTGAATTATAATGGGACAATATATTACTACGATATGACTATATGTCTACATGGTTATATGGTTGTATTCTAAGATGGATATTTACAAGAGCGATACGTGATGACCGGACGACAATGACGGATCGTTGGTTTAACACGGATTAACGACGTGATGGATCAACACTTACATAAGCCTCAATAAATCCGAGGTATCAGTTGATATTATCTATTCAATTAATTGCTCATATGGTGCAACATGAGAAAGTAATGCAATAACTATAATCAACGTGGTAGAATAATGAAGTATCGATAAAATAAACACAATTCATGCGGATGGAATCAGTCGATGATTATTTGAGTTTGAGTGATTCTATTTCAGAGTATACAGTTAGTATCGTCACTGTGCGGAATACTTTTATGTGATAGACATTGAGATGAAAACAGTGATGTTGTAGTTACTAGATAATGTCAATGTTTCAATTTCAATACATCTTCTGGATTTGATACAATATTTTCGC